AGCAATCCCTGGTCAGTTCAGCATCACTTCCTCCCAGTACTATTTCTTTCAGGTTGAATTCATTAATTTTCTTTCAGTGTAATGCAATTTTCTATTGATGTGTCCATCTGCTACACAAGATTGTAAGCTCCTTAAGGGTATGGACTGGTTTTATTTGGCCTAGTAGTCTTTTTTTTTTTTTTTTTTTCTTTTTGTCTTTTTTACTGACTGGTAACAGGATCGCAACCCTCAGTGTCGTGCCCGTACCGGGGACCGGCAATGGGATCGCAACCCTCGGTGTTGCGCCCGCACCGCTCTCAGCCAGTGAGTGGGAACCGGTCTGCACATGGGATCCGAACCCTCGGCAGGAGTGCCGCTGCACTCCCAAGCGCCGCACTCTCCAGTGTGCCACCGGGCTGGCCGAAGGCCTAGTATTCTCACCAACTAACTTATCTTCTATACACCAGGTGTTTAGTGCTTGACTGCTCAGGCAATAAAGGGTTCCATTAATCAAGGAGGCTTCATGGTGAATATAAAACTTAAGCTGAGTCTTTGAAGATTAAACAGTAATAATGAGTCGAGGTATGGAAAATGGGATTCCATGCAAAGGGCAGTTTTGGCTTTAGGAAAAAGCATAGAATAGTATGCAGTTAAAAGTCTCCCACCAGTTTTCTACCTCCTAGAAAACTGACATCCTAGGCTGTTTATATGGAAGATAATTGTATTTTATGGATAGTAAATGTAATACATGATTATTAATCCCATAACCTAGAAAATAACACTGTTAAAATCATATTTTTGAATATATGATTATCTGCTTTTCCCCCCTATCATTCTACTCTGCTCACAATCATTCCGTGTCCTCTCATTGACTTTAATGAAGACCACGCACCACTTCGGCTGGCATATCAAGTCCTCTCTGCAGGTATGAGACCCATTTTCACATCTTCCAAAGTGCCCTGCTGAATTACAGCCCTTTGCTTTCATATATTTCCTGCCGGGAATACCCTGCCTGGGCCCCTGTCTTCTGCCTGACCAACTCTTACCTGGCCTTCAAAACTTAGCCTACATGTACCATCTTCAAAAGTCTTCCTTAATCCCCACACCCTCTGCTCTACAACCCCTGTCTGGATCTGGTCTTTCTCTGCTCTCACAGCACGTATCCTTCCCCTGGCATTATTACTTATCACTTTGTCACTATAAACTCTTGAATGACCTAATGAAACAAGTATTTTGATAAGGGAGAGGAAAAACTAGAGACTAGAAGGCTACACAGAGTGAGTGACCGTGCTCATATAGGCATGGGATAGAGAGGAAAAAATAGATAATCATTTTCCAAGGAACAGTTGATGAGATTGAACTGATTGGGAGATGAGGAGTGAAAGAGGGGGCTGAGATAAAGATTGCTATGAGATAGTGACCACGGATATTAGAGTTTTTAAGCCACTCATTCAGGAGTTGGTTGTGGTTGGGGAACATAGAAGAATTAGCTATTGTGGGATATGTCTAGCAGGAGCTTGGAAGATATTACACTGGTGAACACAAGGGAGTCTATGGCTCATCATACAGATTAAGATGATAAAATTCATTATGTGATAGAGGTAGTAGATTGAAGTAATAGGGTGAAGGGCTTTGAAAAACTGAAATTATGAATTTCGATAATCTAACTAGACTTGAAGAATATGCACTATTAAGAAATGCAGGGAAGGATAGGAGTTGGGGAAGGAGTGACAAAAAGGGGACAGAGAAGGATTTGTGTGATTCTTGTTTTGGAGATTGACATTTTTTATTTGTTGTTGTTTTTGCCTTTTTAATCTTAGGCTTGGTATAAAACATATAGAGACACTAAAATTTCTGCCCTGATTACTGCCAAGCCGAAACTTGGATGATCCACATGGAAACTGTCTCCATAGGAAACCAAACTATTACTGAATTTGTCCTCCTTGGCTTCTATGACATCGCTGAGCTGCACCCACTTTTCTTTACTGTGCTCAGTGTCATCTACACCTCCATCATCACAGGGAATACGCTGATCATTGTAGCGGTGGTTAGCTCCCAGAAGCTCCACACACCCATGTATTTCTTTCTGGCTAATCTGTCTTTCTTGGAGATCCTCTACACCTCCACAGTGGTGCCAAAAATGCTGGAGGGCTTCCTGAAAGAGGCAGTCATCTCTGTTGCTCATTGCTTGCTCCAGTTCTTTATCTTTGGCTCTCTAGCCACAGCTGAGTGCTTCCTGCTGGCTGTCATGGCATATGATCGCTACCTGGCAATCTGCTACCCCCTCCACTACCCACTCTTGATGGGGCCCAAATGGTGCTTGGGGTTAGTGGTCACAGCCTGGCTCTCTGGCTTCATTGTAGATGGACTGGTTGTGGCCCTGATGGCTCAGCTGAGGTTCTGTGGCCCCAACCACATTGACCACTTTTACTGTGACTTCACACCTTTGATGGACCTGGCTTGCTCAGATCCCAGAGTGGCCCAGGTGGTAACATTCATTCTGTCTGTGGTCTGCCTCACTGTTCCCTTTGGACTGATTCTGACATCTTATGCCCGGATTGTGGTGGCAGTGCTGAGAGTTCCTGCTGGGGCCAGCAGGAGAAAGGCTTTTTCCACATGTTCCTCCCACCTAGCTGTAGTGTCCACATTCTACGGAACTCTCATCGTCTTGTACATTGCCCCCTCCGCTGTCCACTCGCAGCTCCTCTCCAAGATCTTTGCCCTGCTCTACACTGTGGTCACCCCCATCTTCAATCCTGTGATCTACAGCCTGAGAAACAAAGAGGTTCTTCAGGCATTGAGAAGGTTTCTCCACATTAAACAAACTGAAACACTTGACTGAAGAAGTGTAGTGAAGATTTTATTTTGGACTTTGGACACCTCCATTGGGAAATCTTCCAGGATTGCTTGGACAGAAATACACAAGCCATGTTCCAATTTCTTTGTTGACCTTTAAGTAATTTCTTAAAATTAAGATCTAAATAAGGTTTACACAATGCATTTTGTTGTTATGTTTCTAGTTTCTTTATAACACAGCAGAATTCCTCCCCCACCTTTTTTTTTATGCTGTTGACTTATTGGATTGATTGTTTTATCTGTCTGGTAGAATGTTCCATATTCTAAGTTGGCTTTTACTTGTGGTTTTGTTTAACTTTTATCCCTATATTTAGCTTTTTATATAAATTGATAGTGAGATGGAAGCTTGATTGGATCTCGGTTAACTTTTTTCAGTAAGGACATGCCAAGATTGCTATGCTATTTTTATTGCATCATATTATGAGTCACACAATATTGATTGTCCAATGTTCTGAGACGCTATTTATAATATTGGCCAGTGAGTTCAGGTGGTGTCAGCCTGATTCATCTATTACTCAGTTTCCAATTAACCTTTCACCTAATATTTTTATTATCCATTGGTGAAAGTTGATGATAAATGCCTAGAATCACTTAGATTTTTGAATGGAATTTTCCTTTAAGATTTTGAATAGATTGTAAGTAGCTGTTGTAACATCTTTGTCTGCAGATTCCTACATCTAGGCCACATCAGGTTGAGTTATTACTGACTTCTTGAATATTAATCATGTTTTCCCATGTCTTTGTAAGTATTTTTTTTTTAATTTAATATAGGTCTTTGTAGAGATTTTCCAAAGAATGTGGGTTTTTGAATGTAGGTTTTGATTTCTGTTATCTTTTTCCAAAGAATGTGTTTTTGTTGTTGTTGTTGTTTTTGCTTAAAAAAAAATGACTGGTAAGGGGATCTTAACCCTTGACTTGGTGTTGTCAGCACCATGCTCTCCCAAGTGAGTGAACCTGCCATTCCTATATAGGGATCCGAATCTGTGGCCTTGGTGTTATCAGCACTGCACTCTCCCAGGTGAGCCATGGGCTGGGCCATGATGTAGGGTTTTGATCCTCCAGTTCAAGGAGGATCATCTTGAACTTGGGTAGGCTTGGTTTTATGCTTCGGTATTATCAATCTGTGGAAAGCACAAAGTCTTTTGCAAGCCTCTTTAACTTGGCGTGACTCAACCTCCAATTTCTCTCTTTCCTATGACACTGTCAGGGCTTAGTTTCAGGCTGTTAAGCCAGATCTAGAGTGGGTCTTACTCAAGTGTGGGGTCTTTACTCTTAAGGCTGGCTTTTCAGCTGGCTTGTCTCAGCTGGATGGTGGGATATTACTGAGGCGTTAACGAGATTTCACCATGTCAGCAAGGCAGGCAGCACACTTTTCTGGCAATGCTCTTCCTCAAACCCAATCTACCTCTCATGTCCATTCTATTTCAATCCTATATCAGCTCTGATCTGGTAAGTCTTAAATAGTCGTGTCCTTCATGTGTACAGTCTAGTTATCGGTCATGGCTCACAGATACCTCTATCTGTGATCAAGTGGGATTCATCCCAGGGATGTAAGGATCTGTTTTTTAGAACAAAATTAGTAAACTCATATAGAAAATGTTCTTTTATTCTAATTCAAAAACAAAGATATTTTTAAGCAATCCTCTTAGTTTTAGCTATCTTCTAATCCTCAGCCATAGAATCAGAAACTCCCCAGAAACTCCCAAACATAGCACAAGCACACAAATACATAAAAAAAATTCTGAAAAGTGAGGGATTAAAAGGGGAAAAACTGTATAGAACCAGTTTCCTTTCTTTTATGAATGCTGATGGTACTGGTGACATTAATGGGGAAGGTATTGAAGATGGTAATTTGTATAGTGATTCTGATGACAGCACAGATGATATTGTCTATAGCAAAGGTGATGGTGAGGGTCTTCTTTCTTAAACCACTGACAGAAATGCTAATAATTATCAAATGTTTGTAGTAATGGTAATGGATAATCAAGTTTCAATGATTTTAGTGTTAGAAGGCAATTTAAAGTCCAGTAATGCAACCTGCCATTCGTTCCAATAGACCATGGAATGCTCTGTGACAGCCTTGGTGTTAAGTGACTCACTTTGTAAATGTGATGGTGAGGTGGGTAGTGATTTTTTTGTAAATTGCTTGATTATGGGAATTATCTCTAATCCTGAGAACTCTCCATGCCCAGAATCCTTTTCAGTGAACTCCTCACATCCGTATTTCTCAGGCTATAAATGAAAGGGTTTAGAGTGGGAGTTACCAGGGTATACAAGATAGCAGCAGCCATCTCCCCAGAGGAGTGAGAAGTTGATGGGGGCTTCAGATAGGTGGCAAAGACTGTGCTGTAGAAGAGGATGACCATGGAGAGGTGGGAGCTGCATGTGGCCAGTGCTTTCCTTTTCCCTTGTGCTGATGGAACTCTAGCCACAGCATGGAAAATTCGGGCATAAGAACTTATGATGCAGAGGAGAGGGCTGATTCCTAAAACAACAGTCAGAGTCATCATCAGGTCCTCACTGAGGTGGGTATCAGAGCAAGAAAGCTGTAAGAGTGGGCCAAAATCACAGAAAAAGTGAGGAATCTCTTGATTAGTATGAAAAGATAGCTGGGAGAGTAACAGGATATGGACCAGAGAGACAGAGTGGGCCACTCCCCATGACCCAGCAACCAGCCCCCCACATCTGCAAGGAGTCATTAGGAGTGGGTATCGCAGAGGATGGCAAATAGCAGCATAGCGGTCAACAGCCATGACCGTCAAAAGCAGGCTGTCCATGTCAGCAAAAACAGCAAAGAAGTATAACTGGGTCAGACATCCAGAGAAAGAGATGGATCCACTGCTGCTCCACAAAACCTTCAGCATTTTAGGGGCTGTGGTGGTAGTGAAGCAGAGATCCACCAGGGAGAGCTGGCTGAGGAAGAAGTACATGGGGCTGTGGAGGTGGACGTCGGCACCAATAACTAGTGGAAGGAGCAAGTTCCCTAGAAGGCCCAGCAAGTAGAGAGCCAGAAAGAGACCAAAGAGGAACTGCTGTTTCTCTGGATCACTGGACAACCCTGAGAGGGCAAAGTCAGGAGTCTTGCTGCAGTTCATTCTGGGTTTTGTGCTGCAAGAAAGGAAGTAGTGTGAAGAGGATGAACTCACTTTAGGCACTGCGGTAGGGAGCATTTTGGATCCTGTCTCTTGGCAAGGGGTCTCCCTCACATCACCAATCTGAGAAATGGAGAAAAGAAACTGAAATAGCAACGGGGGTGGGGGGGAGACAAGTGTTGGAATTCATAAGGGATTGTCATAAGAGGCAGCACAAAGACAATAGAAAGAGAGGAGCAGAGGCTTCCTGGAATTCTTTAAGTGTGAAAGAGCTGTGTTAATTTAACTTTGCATTATGTAATGCTGTAACTACTTGTTTGTGAATATCTTTTTGACCATGATCCTTCTGAAGGTAGAGGTTGCATTTTCGCACTTAGCTTAATGCTTGGCACATAGTAGAAACTCAATAAATGTCTCCATCCATCTACCCAGTAACTACTCTAGTTCAAGCTCCTGTTGATTGACTAGAGTACTGCCGGCCTCTTCGCTGGTTTAACACGCCCGCTCTTGCCCCTCCTGGTAAGTTCTTCACACTGCAGCCAGAGTGTTCTTTTTAAAATAGAAAATATAATCACATCAATTGTTCGTTTAAAACTAGGTATCTGGAGAGCCATCGCTCTTATGAAAAATACACTACATCTAACATGTCTCACAAAGCTCAGTGTATTTTGGCTTCGATGTACCTAACCAGCCTCATCTTGCACCCCAGTCCACTCATTCTCTGCTGCCCAGCACCGTGGCTGCGTTGTGTTTCCTCAGTGCACCATCTTGCTTCCCTTCACTCCTAGTCAATGCCTATCCATCCTTACACTCTCAGTCCAAATAACTTTTGTTTGTCTATTTGTTTGTTTTGGTGGCTGGGACAGGGATCAAACTCCGGACCTTGGTGTTATCAGCACCATACTCTAACCAACTGAGCTAACTGGCCACCCCCAATTGACTTTTCTAGGAAGTCTTCCTTTGCCTCTTTGATATCAAGTCAACCTTTTATATCCTGTCACAGCACCTTCATAGATTATCAATTTTAATATGGAAGATGTAATTATATTTATTTAATTTAAATATTTATGCTTTTTAGTTAATGTTGCTCCTCCTCACAAGCCAGTGAGGAATATTATGGCAGAGACTCCATCTGGTTTTTCTCTCCATGTGCTTGGTACATAAAATACAGCAAGTATTTGTCACAAAATGAATAAGTCAATTAATGGAGACTGAAGCCAAGATTGGGAAATATGTTGTCCTCCTCAATCAGTTTTCCTCCATTTCAACATCTCAAGAAGAAAACTTCTTTCCTCCAGGTATTCTCCTAGTAATGTGGGTTGGACACATGGGTGCATCCATTTCTTTCATCCCTCAAGTCCAAACTAAGTGCTATAACATTTTTTCCCTACCAAAAAAATGCTTTTCATTTTAGTCCCTTACTTACTCTTTTTTTTTAACCTTATTTGGACTTCCTCTTATCAACTCACTCCCAGCTTATTCATCAGCGGCTTAGATGGCTTCACTGATTTCACTCTCCAATTACTGTGATTCACGCTGCAAGCATCTTTTAGAAATTGTACAAGTTTCTGTTTTTGTCTTGGCTCTCCCTTGTTTCTCTCATTTCCTATTGGATCACATGTATCATCTGTGCCTAGTTATCAAGAACTTCTACATGTGGATCCATGTACTTGTGAAACAGGATTTCCCACTCTCACCAGCAGTCAGTCTCCTCTCTCTTTGGCTGGTCACCTGTAGTGCCACAAACGTGCCCATTTTTGCCTGTATATACTTACTCTTGTTGGCTTTAAGCCCCATCCTCTTCTCTCCTGATATCTTTCCTTTCCCACCCAAATACTACCAGGCCCTCAGGGCTCAGTTAAAATTTTACCTCTTCCCCACAGTAAAGCTGTCCCCAAATATTTTATTCCTCATTGTTTTATGTCTTCTGAAATATATAGACAGAATGATCTAGCCCTTAATTGGCTACTGTTTGAAGGAGTTTTCCAATTTTTCTTATGTATACATTTTCTCTTCTACACTATATTATGCATTTCTTGAGAGTAAAAGCCATGTTTTCTTTTTAAAAGTTCTCATAACAGCAGCCAAGGAGCTGAGCATATAGATTCTCCCAAGGATTATGTTCATTGACTGCTCTCTAACAGTGAGTGTATCTGTCCACTTCACGTGTGTGGGAGGGAGAGAAATGCCCTTTGGATCAACTATCATGAAGAGAGATGGGCCATGTTATGCTAATTGGAAATAATTGATTATGTCTGAATAAAAGATTCATTAACTTATGACTGTAGTATTTTTTTCAATTTTCAAGACTTATGATGGATCTTGTGACAGGCAAAGTTTATGTTTCCTTTTCCATTTATATATTTATTACCTCCTTGTTTCTAGCAATTTTTAGATATTCCAATGGATAAGTTCTTTAGGATAAAGAGACATAAGCTTTCTTACTTTATGCAGAACATGATTGAGTTCCTGAGAACTTAAGAATCACCTGGAGACCTAGCTAAGTTACAGATCTCAGGGCTCCACCCCAGAGATGCTGATTTAGTAGGTCTGGGGTGGGACATGAGAACATGCATTTCTAACATGCTCACACATGGGATGATGCTGATTTTGGATCAACTGTCATGAAGAGAGATGGGCCATGTTATGCTAATTGGAAATAATTGATTATGTCTGAATAAAAGATTCATTAAATTATGACTGTAGTACTTTTTTTCTATTTTCAACACTTATGATGGATCTTGTGACAGGCAAAGTTTATGTTTCCTTTTCCAGTTATATATTTATTACCTCCTTGTTTCTAGCAATTTTTAGATATTCCAATGGATAAGTTCTTTAGGATAAAGAGACATAAGCTTTCTTACTTTATGCAGAACATGATTGAGTTCCTGAGAACTTAAGAATCATTTGAATTCCTGAGAACGTAGGAATCACCTGGAGACCTAGCTAAGTCACAGATCTTGGGGCTCCACCCTAGAGATTCTGATTTAGTGGGTCTGGAGTGGGACGTGAGAACATGCATGTCTAACATGCTCACACACTGGGTGATGCTGATGCTGCTAGTCTACTG